GTGCCGATCACCACTGGGATTACATTGACTGGCTTGTGCCAGAGTCTTTGCAGTTCAATCTTTAAATCCTTGTATCACGCCAGCTTTTCCAGTTTTTCTCCTCAGTTCTGCTGTCACTTGGGATTGCATCATCGGCAATCCATACTTGGTTTTTTAACACGATTGTGAGGTCAGGAGTATTGTGCTCCAAAACTCTGACATCATCACCATCACCATCACCATCATCATCATCATCATCATCATCATTTCTTGCCTTTCCTTGTGGCTTGTGATGTATCAAAGGCTCATTTCCTAAGACAATGGTTGAAAGCTCCCTGCCAGTGATCTATCCTGTCAACAATAGACTTCAAGCAGTGCTGTGTAACCACATGCTCTCTGTCAAGTTGGATTAGCCAAGGCATCAACATGAGACCTGCATTAACTCATTCAGCTGGATGAAGACAGGGCCATAATTTGAATGCTGGAAAGGTGTAAATGGACTCGGAAGGGTTCACTAGAACTAAAAGGCATTCAGTTCCCATTGAATGTTAACCTAATTTAGCTATGTTACTTGTGAACATACCAATGAAGCAGCAAACATTATTGAGAAGTGCTCGGTCTATAGAAAGCTACCCTCAGGGAAAAAAATCACTATTGCTTGCTGAACATGACTGGACATTAAATAGTACTGAGACCTATCTGGTATACATCCCCTGAGCACTAATGTGTTGGCCTGTTCTTTAGATATTCTGTCATGCTCTTCCTCCTCCTCTTCTTGACTTTAAAGTTGCTCTCTTGCCCTATGTTCTCTTGTGCTAGATTTGTCCTGACTTCATATTCTTAAATACTATGGTGCAGCACCTGAACCCCACTGAAGGTTCACTTCAGATTGACTCTCAGACTGGCATCTATTGCCATTTTTGAACTGGTTTTGTTCTGCTTGACATGAATCTCCCTTTATTCTGTAGTTGTCCAAATTTTAATTTTCCTTGATGCTGACTACAACCGGAAATCCTCAGCAAGTATGACCACTTCTTTCTGTCTAAATTGTTTAAATATTACGTTTTGCAAAACCCTCTTAGGAAACGGGGATGTTGGGAGGGAAGGGGCAGACTACCCACGAAAGACATGGCAACAAGCCTCCTGACTGATGCTTTTCCTCCTCCCTTTCCCTGAGTGGAACCATTCCATGTGGCGCCTGGAAGCGAGGATGCCTTGGTGTCTTCATTTTTAGTCCTGTTCCTGGGATTATTTGGGGTAGTGATTGCATTGCATAGACCACATCAGCTCTAGATGATTAAATATGGTTTTCTGTAGGCAAGCTGATGGCGACTACTGGATGGCATATGTTCTGTATCAGAAACTAGAGCTGATGTGGCCTATCCAATGCAGTTTTCTGAATCAGCACCCCAAATAACCAAACCGAATCTAAAGTTGACCAAAAACTGAGTCGTAACTCTTTTGGAACTCATGTTGAAGAGTGGTCCCTGGTCAAAAAAAGGTTGGGAACCACTACGTTAAAGGATGGCTTATATTCCATACTGTTATCAAGTTGTAACTTCAAAACTTCCTTCCCTATAAGTAATCCAAGACAGTCAGCAAGTGACAAATGAGTAAGCCATCTTCTAACCATTTTGGATTTGGGTTTTTATTAAAAAGGTCCTGAAAGGTTAGGACTGTGATGAATGTTTTGAGTCCAGGGGGACATTAAAAATTGCAAGATGACCTTTTCTGAATTACTGCAGTGATTGGGCTTTGCTCACTTGTATATCATGTTCTCAGAAATACTCTTAAAGGCTTGCACTCAGATCTGACACACCTCTTACATGAAGCTCTCTCATTCCTTAGACAGCAATGCATGGAATTCACGAACGTGTACTACAAACACACACAGAGAATGAAGCTTTAAGGGAGGAGCCAGGAGGATCCCCTCAAATTAGCAGAAATACGCATATTCCAAGGAAATACAAGAATTTAGTCTCTCTAGTTACTTCGGATCCACCTCATGCATTGTGTGGCCATTGCGGGGCTGATGCTAATTAACACTGACCTAAGTGTTCAGTGTAGATGGACTTAAGAGTGGACTTAAGAGTCGTAGATCCTTTTCACAACTACTGTTGTCCAGGTGTCCATTACATTTTTTTCCTGCATTTCTTCATGTTGAAGTTTATTTGTGAGCTTTGGCCAATCAGTTCTTTAACACTACGTAACAAAATTTGGAAAATGTCATGTTCCTGGTTTGAAAGTGTTATTTCCTGTTTAAATGTGTGGTCCTTACTTTGAAAGTAGTTGTTCTACTCCAGAAACTTCAATTTTATGGCTGCCACAAACTAGGTTGCAGTTGGTTGAGACTTGATGGTGAGGTGATATTCACTGAAAAACACTAGCAAAATGTGCTGCAGGATGTCTCACCAAAACAAAGCTTTTACAGTTTAATAAACTTTTCCCATGTTTTTATGATAGAACCAATTAGGAAATTAAGATAATAGAGCCAATGTGATGTATTTGTTTTAGTGCTGTACCAAGATCTGGGAGGTCAGGGCTTTGCAGCCATGGAAACCCACTGAGTGATCTTGAAGAAGCCACACTCATAGAAACATAGAATCAAAGAGTTGGAAGAGACCTCATGGGCCATCCAATCCAACCCCCTGCCAAGAAGCAGGAATGTTGCATTCAAATCACCCCTGACAGATGGCCATCCAGCCTCTGTTTAAAAGCTTCCAAAGAAGGAGCCTCCCCCACACTCCGGGGCAGAGAGTTCTCTGTCTCTCTGTCTCAGAGGGAGTCAAAGGCTCTCTGAACAAATCTTCCAAAGGAAACCCAGTGATAGGGTCACCTTCAGGCATGTGTCAAATAAACTCAAGGTCTGCGAATGAATCCATCCCGCCATGTTGCCCTCCAGATGCTGGACTACAACTCCCATGTTTCTCATAATTAGAATGGATTGGGAGTGGTGAAACAGCAACATCTGGAAGGCTGTGGTTTATTCTGTTTAGTCAGGAGAATGGGATTTGGGTTGAGAGAAAAGACGTAAGAATCACGGAATCATAGAGTTGGAGGAGACCTCGTAGGCCAGTCCAACCCCCACCAAGAAGCAGGAAAGCTGCATTCAAAGCACCCCCAACAGATTGCCATCCAGCTTCTGCTTAAATGCCTCCAAAGAAGAAGCCTCCACCACACTCTGGGGCAGAGAGTTCCACTTCTGAACAGCTCTCACAGTCAGGAAGTTCTTCCTAATGTTCAGATGGAATCTCCTTTCCTGTAGTTTGAAGCCATTGTTCTGCGTCCTAGTCCCCATGGCAGCAGAAAACAAGCTTGCTGCCTCCTCCCTATGATTTCCCCTCACATATTTATACATGGCCATCATGTCTCCTCTCAAGCTTCTCTTCTGCAAGCTAAACATACCCAGCTCTTTAAGCCAGTCCTCATAGGGCTTGTTCTCCAGACCCTTGACCATTTTGGTTGCCTTCCTCTGGACACATTCCAGCTTGTCAACACCCCCCTTCAACTGCAGTGCCCAGAATTGGCCACAGTATTCCAGATGTGGTCTGACTAAGGCAGAATAGAGGAGTAGCATGACTTCCCTGGATCTAGACACTGTACTCCTGTTTATGCAGGCCACAATCCCATTGGCTTTTTTTGCCACCATATGAAATTGTAGGTTCATGTTTAACTAGTTGTCCACGAGGACACCAAGATCTTTTTCACACGTACTGTTCTTGAGCCAGGCGTCCCCCATTCTGTATCCTGTCATCCTGCAGACCCATTCTGTATCTTTGCATTTCATTTTTTCCACTTAAGTGGAGTATCTTTCATTTGTCCCTGTTGAACTTCATTTTGTTACTTTTGGCCAATCATCTCTCTAATCTGTTAAGATCATTTTGAATTCTGCTCCTGTCTTCTGGGGTATTGGCTATCCTTCCCTTGTGGATAGCATGCTCGATTTTATCCTTTCCCCAAGCTCAGAGCCACAATTGCTGTTGAGTTGCGGTTCCCATTATCCCCAGTTCGCATGTCTGATCATCAAAAGGGATGGGTGTTGTGGTTAAATCGTATTTGGGCACCCAAACTGGGTAATAACTAAAGAGTACGGATCAGTATATTAATATACAGTGTATATGTGTGTGTGTGTCTATATATATGACCCTTTCTCTGTATTCGTGAGTTCTCCTTCCACGGCCCTTTAAAGGCAACAGTAAGGCTGATGTGAACCTCAATGAAAATGTGTTTGACAGCCCTGCCATAGGGTTGCCACAAGCTGGAAATACAACAAGTATACAACAGGAAGCAGGGGATGTGCTGCTATCTGGATGTTGCTGAACTGTAACTTGCACCATCCCTTATTTATTGCATTGCTGCCTACCTACGTGTTCCTTCCCTCTGCAGTACAATGGAAAATTGGGAAGAAATATGAAGAATCCAATTTTTGAGACATTATGTTTACAGAAAGACATTCCCTAGCCCATTCCTCTGTTAGGAGCCCAAGCCCATTGTATCTGTTCAGTAGTAAAAAATGGATTGCACTGAAGAGAGAGAAGACGCATCACCAGCACAGAGGAGCGATTCTATGCTTAAAGATTACTTTGCTGCGAATAGCATTTCTGCCCACAGCTCAGGGATCTCTTATGGAATTCTAAATGATACACAAAATGATGTCTCCCACAGTTTCTTGGCTGAGGCTATTAACAGTTAAATTAAGTTTACAAATGATGTATCTTTGTAATGTACAGAAAACCACAGGCTCTAGATTGCCTTCTTCCAGAGGACTAATTCATGAGTTATAGATCAGCTTCAACTTGGGCATATTTGGCAACCCTTGAATATTTTCTTTCACTCCACATAAGAGAGCATTTAGTGGGAAATAATACAACCTTCCTGTGAAATGGGATTTCCCTTCTTATAGTGAATGTCGTTTTTTTATACCATTCTGTACCGGTTTGGGGCTTATGATCAGCTATCCTCCACTGCAGAGTCCCATCAAACTATTATTTCTTTTGAATTTACCAGTAAGACAACAGCTGTTAATGTGCATGGCGACCATTTATTATACAGGTTATCTACTTGATTTACTCTGTGTGTGAGAGAATTAGAATTGTTTACAGAAGCTGTAGGGCTGGAAGTTGCGTTTTCATATTTCCAGTTGAAGGCACTGTGTTGAAATATAGCTTTAAGGCAGTGGTTCCCAACCAGTGGTCCGCCGACAACCAGTGGTCTGCAAGAACTAAAATATGGTCCGCAAAACAATTAAAATTCTAATATATATTTAACAGTGTGTGTGTCAATTATATCTGTTACATTAATCTGCCCCAGAAGCAAAGGCCAGCTTGCCCCGCCACCCCCAGGTGTTTTAATTATGCGAACAAGGGTTTTCTGCTTTTCTGGTAATTATAAACAAGTCCAGGAATCGATTGAAAATAAGTGATGATATGCATGTAGCTTTGAGCAATAATATTAGACCCAGGATTACCCAACTTGTAAAGAAGATGCAAGCTCAAACATTGATGCAAAGATGTAGGAGAAGGTTAAATGGCTGGGATGAATGAACCAGCTGGATTTTGCTTTAGTTAGAATAAAATGCAGGATGCACATTCATCTGTCCTATGAGCTTATAAATAGGAGACCCTGGCCTTGGATGTTAGTATCAGTGCAACCTGACAGATTTGTTGTGTCGTTCATCATAAAGTTGAACAGACTAAAGCTAATCCAATGACTTGGACACATTGCAGTCATGTGCACCCTTTCCCCGATTGCTATCCCAGTTTTCCAACATGCAAAGGTTCATAGACTTCCTTGCTCATATTCAGACGTTCCTGGATTTCCCATAAGCCTGGTATGACAGGTGTTGTAGCATAACATCTGGAGGACTGGTGATGCCCAGTGCTCAATGTGCAAATGCTCCTGGAGCATTTATATTTGTGGTAAATATATATATTGATGTATATATTTATCCAGGCTAGCAGGATATGGCAAACTTGGTAAGACTTGGGGAGTAAAGGCCACTTGGTATAGCAAATCACATCTGTTCACATAGACAATGGATTGCATAGAAGCTGTAAGGTTATGTAGATTTTGGTTTGCTGAAGTTCTCATGGTTAGTTTGCTATTGCAACATATGTCCTGTATTTGTTTGCAAGAGAGTTTAAAAACTATGACAACAGATCAGTTGAAATATAACATGTTAAATTAAATCTATGCATGTGTGGGCAGTGAAGCAAAGCCTTTTATCGACCAATGAGGCTTTCAATTTTGCTGAATATAATGTTTGCCTTTTGGTTATTGCTATGAGAATCATCATCTTCACCTATATTCTAAAATCCCAATAACCGAAAGTGAGGACAAAATTAAATACCACACTCATATTGCTTCATATACATTTATAGCAGGCCTGGGCCAACTTCAGCCCTCCCTTCAAGTGTTTTAGACTTCAACTCCCAAAATTCCTAACACCCTTTTTGCCGTTAGGTATTGTGGGAGTTGAAGTCCAAAACACATGCAGGGACCACCAAAGTCGGCCCAGGCCTGGTCTATGGCATAGTTTTGGCAAAGGAAGGAAAGGCCTACTTTTGTTTCAACATAACCACAATATCTTTCCCAACATCTTGACTATTTTTCAGTTCATTCAGACTGTAGTATCTGTGAGCAATTTTTTCAGCGGTGACAGCCACCAATCGGAGTCCGTGGGTGTCCTCTCCCAGCTGGCATCCAATGGCCGATGAAATGACCATCTCAAGGTCTTTATAGACTCCCCCAGCGTTCTTATGGCAATGCCCAGAAAACACCGCTTTGACACCTGTTTGAACAAAATGAGACAAAAAAAGACAACCACAAGTCACTCCTTTGGATATAACAGTGGTTCTTAACCTTTGGGCTGCAGACCACCAGTGGGCCGCAAGGACGAAAATCTAGTCTGCGAGCCTCCTTCCTCTATTTATATTTATTTTATTTCTGCTCCTTTTGCGCTGCCTGCCACTCCTTCCCTGTTGCTGACCATGGCATATGTTCCGTATGTGGTCTATCCAATGCAATTTTTGAATCGGCACCCCAAACCAAATATAAAGTTGACCAAAAACTGATTCATAACTCTTTTGGTGCTAATGTTGGAGAGTGGTCCTGGTCACAAAAAAGGTTCTGAACCACTGGGATATAAAATATACATACTTTGAAACTGAACAAAATTTACCAATTGTTTTCTTAAGTAACAAGGAAAGAAATGGCTTGTTTTCACTTACAGGAAAGTTGTTTTACAGAGTTTTTTTTATCATACATATTTAGATTAGGAAAATCTGTGCATTTCATTTTCTTTGGCTAAATGTAATGCCACAGTAGCGCAGTGGTTAAAACCCCTAGCTGCAGGAAATCTGCTGACTGGGGAGTTAGCAGTTCGAAACCGAGTTGGGGTACACTACAGCTGTCAGTCCTAGCTTTTGCCTACCTAGCAGTTAGAAAGCATGTATGCTAGTAGATCAGTAGGTACCGCCTCAGTGGGGAGGTAAAAGGGTGCTCCATGCAGACATGCCGGCAACGATTGGAGAAGGTCTATTGACAACTGGCTCCTTGGCATGGAAAATGGAACAAGAGCACCTCCCTATGGCCAGAGATGAGCATCGCCTCCAGACAGCGGTGATGAAAAGGGAAGCCCTTTATCTCTGTCTGTGTAGTGTATGTCATTATTCACTGTGTAAAAAGGCACTGAATGTTTGCCTTATATATGTAAAACTGTAATCCACTCTGAATTCCTCCGGGGAGATAAAGCCGAACATAAATAAAGTGTATTATTATTATTATTATTATTATTATTATTATTATTATTATTATTATATTTATTTATACCCAATTTATCTCTCCCAAAGGAGACTCAAAGCAGTTTAACATAAAAGCATTAGCATACAGTTTAAATTATACAAATATGCAAACATACAGGATTAAGTTCAAGTTCTTGAACTTGAAAAACAGGATTAAATATAAACAGTATTAAAACATTCCCAGTTAAAAACCATTAAAACATATTCAAAGTTACTCTACTCTAATGCTCACCTTTTTTTGTGTGAGTGCCTACATTGCCTCCCCAAAATTAGGGTGCACATTAGATTAGCTTAATATTGTAATCTTAGTTCTGGGCCAAAGCAAAAGGGGAAGCTACTTCGGGAGCTGCACCACAGGAGCTCCTATTTGAGGAATGTCACCTCTATTTTAATGGCCGTGGCTCAATGCTATACAATCCTGGGGTTTGTAGTTTGATGAGCTACCAGCATTCTTCGGCAGAGAAAGCTCAAGGCCTTGTAAAACTACATAATTTCATACAATTGCGCCATGGCAGTTAAAGTGGATTTATTCTACATACAGCATAGAAGCACCACCAAGGTTCTCTTTTTGACTGCTGGAAGTTTTGGTGCTCTAGCACTTTTGTTTTTAAAGAAGGAATTATAAGCACGCAGCCACTCTGATGTGTGCCTTTTTGGTCACTTTTTGCTGCTGCACATGACATTCACCAGCAAATAAGGTTTTTTTTGGTTCAGGGTTTTGAAAATTGAGGTGACATTAGATTTAATGGTTCATTTGGCTTGAGTAAATACAATAATTTTGTTGTTGTTGTTGTTCATTCGTTTAGTCGTCTCCGACTCTTCGTGACCTCATGGACCAGCCCACGCCAGAGCTCCCTGTCGGCCGTTACCACCCCCAGCTCCCTCAAGGTCAGTCCAGTCACTTCAAGGATGCCATCCATCCATCTTGCCCTTGGTCGGCTCCTCTTCCTTTGGCCTTCCACTTTCCCCAGCATAATTGTCTTCTCTAGGCTTTCTGTCTCCTCATGATGTGGCCAAAGTACTTCAACTTTGTCTCTAATATCCTTCCCTCCAATGAGCAGTCGGGCTTTATTTCCTGGAGGATGGACTGGTTGGATCTTCTCGCAGTCCAAGGCACTCTCAGAACTTTCCTCCAACACCACAGATCAAAAGCATCGATCTTCCTTCGCTCAGCCTTCCCTAAGGTCCAGCTCTCACATCCGTAGGTGACTACAGGGAATACCATGGCTTTGACTAGGCGGATCTTTGTTGCCAGTGTTATGTCTCTACTCTTCACTATTTTATCGAGACTGGACATTGCTCTCCTCCCAAGAAGTAAGCGTCTTCTGATTTCCTGGCTACAGTCTGCATCTGCAGTAGTCTTTGCACCTAGAAATACAAAGTCTGTCACGGCCTCCACGTTTTCTCCCTCTATTTTCCAGTTGTCAATCATTCTTGTTGCCATAATCTTGTTTTTTTTGATGTTTAGCTGCAACCCGAATTTTGCGCTTTCTTCTTTCACCTTGATTAGAGGGCTCCTCAGCTCCTCCTCGCTTTCGGCCATCAGAGTGGTGTCATCTGCATATCTGAGGTTGTTAATGTTTCTTCCAGCAATTTTCACCCCAGCTTTGCATTCATCCAGCCCCGCACATCGCATGATGTGTTCTGCATACAAGTTAAAAAGGTTGGGTGAGAGGATGCAGCCTTGCCGTACGCCTTTCCCAATCTTGAACCACTCTGTTGTTCCATGGTCAGTTCTGACTGTTGCTACTTGGTCCTTGTACAGATTCCTCAGGAGAGAGACAAGGTGGCTTGGGATGCCCATCCCACTAGGAACTTGCCACAATTTATTATGATCCACACAGTCAAAGGCTTTAGAATAGTCAATGAAGCAGAAGTAGATTTTTTCTGAAACTCCCTGCCTTTCTCCATTATCCAGCGGATATTGGCAATCTGGTCTCTCGTTCCTCTGCCTTTTCTAAACCCAGCTTGAACATCTGGCAACTCTCGCTCCATGTATTGCTGGAGTCTTCCTTGCAGGATCTTGAGCATTACCTTACTGGCATGAGAAATAAGGGCCACTGTACGGAAGTTTGAGCAGTCTTTCGCATTTCCCTTTTTTGGTATGGGGATATAAGTTGATTTTTTCCAGTCTGATGGCCATTCTTGTGTTTTCCATATTTGCTGGCAAATTGCATGCATCACCTTGACAGCATCATCTTTTAAGATTTTAAACAGTTCAGCTGGGATCCCGTCGTCTCCTGCTGCCTTGTTGTTAGCAATGCTTCTTAAGGCCCATTCAACCTCACTCCTCAGGATGTCTGGTTCTAATTCATTCACCACACCGTCAAAACTCCTCAATATTATTATCCTTCCTATACAGATCTTCTGTATAGTCTCGCCACCTTCTCTTGATCTCTTCAGCTTCTGTTAGGTCCCTGCCATCTTTGTTTCTTAGCATACCAATTTTTGCCTGAAATTTACCTCCAATGTTTCTAATTTTCTGGGAGAGGTCTCTTGTCCTTCCTATTCTGTTGTCTTCTTCACTTCCATGCATTGCTTATTTAAAAATAGTTCCTTATCTCTTCTGGCTAACCTCTGGAATTGCGCATTTAACTGGGCATATCTCCCCTTATCCCTGTTTCCTTTTGCGTTCCTCCTTTCTTGGGCTACTTCCAGTGTCTCAGCAGACAACCATTTTGCCTTCTTGGTTTTCTTTTTCTTTGGACGTACTTTGTTGCCGCCTCCTGAACAATGTCTCGGACTTCTGTCCATAGTTCTTCTGGGACTCTGTTTACTAAATCTAGTCCTTCAAATCTGTTCTTCACTTTCACTGTATATTCGCTAGGAATGTTAGTGAGATCATATCTAACTGGTCTGTGTATTTTCCCTGATCTCTTTAGTTTTATTCTAAATTGGGCAATAAGAAGTTCGTGATCTGAGCTACAGTCAGCCCCAGGTCTTGTTTTCACCGACTGGATTGATGTCCACCACCTTTGGCTGCAAAGGATGTAGTCAATCTGATTTCGGTGTTGACCATCTGGCGAGGTCCATGTATAAAGCCGTCTTTTAGGTTGTTGGAAGAGAGTATTCGTTATACACAGCGAGTTTTCCTGGCAAAATTCTATCAGCCTGCGTCCCGCTTCATTTTGTTCTCCCAGACCATGCTTGCCTGTGATCCCAGTTGTCATTTGACTTCCCACCTTGGCATTCCAGTCTCCTGTAATGAAAATAATGTCTCTTTTTGGTGTATTATCCAGTAAATCCTGCAGATCCTCATAGAACTGATCTACTTCTGCTTCTTCAGCAGCTGTGGTTGGGGCGTATATTTGGATCACTGTAATGTTGAAAGGCTTTCCTTGCACTCGAATTGAGATCATTCTGTCATTTTTTGGGTTGTATCCAAGCACCGCTTTAGCGAATTTCTTATTAATTATGAAGGCTACTCCATTTCTTCGATGTTCCTCTTGTCCGCAGTAGTAGATCTGGTGGTCATCTGATGTGAAGTGGCCCATTCCAGTCCACTTCAGTTCGCTGACCCCCAGAATGTCTATCTTTAGTCTTGACATGATTTTGATTTGATGATGAAGAAGAAGGGGGAAAATCCTCGCCTTGACTCTTAAGCAGCACTTTTCTTGAAGTCTTACTACAATGAATTATAGATGCATCCTGCATCCTAGGTAGACATCCTAGGTAATAATTTTGTTACTTTTGGCCAATCGGCTCTCTCATCTGTTGAGGTCACTTTGTATTCTGATCCTGTCTTAGTATTGGTGATCTCTCCCAATCTGGCTTCATCTGCAAATCCAATCAGCAGGCCTTCCTTCTATTTCTTCTGCTTTCCAAGTCATTGGGAAAGATCCTGAAGAGCGCTGGGCCCAAGACAGACCCCTGGCCACTTTCAGACCTTTGACCATTTTGGTCTCCCTTCTTTTTGGTCAATCTCATTTGTGAATTGTGCTTCCTTCACTTCTGGCAGCATTTTAAGGGGGAAATATAGTTTCCCCCCCGAGATCCTCAAGCAATCAGTAGCCAGAACAAATTGGCAACACATCTTCCTGGGTTTTGCAACCATGACACATGACCTGTTTTCCATTTTCAGCTCGCTCTACGCAATATTTGCAGGTTTATATCTCTGTCAAAGAGAAGCTGCTGAATGATTCCAACAGAGATAATTTAAAGCAAAAAAGAAAATTGACAGATACCGCGAGTGAAATATCCACTTTGATTTTCCAAAGTCTGAATTCAGCTGCTGAAGCAGTTTGTCCCATTTCGCTTCTTGATCAAAATGAATATCCTTTATTTAGCATAACTCAACAAACTTTGTCTACCTAGGATGCAGGATGCATCTATAATTCATTGTAGTAAGACTTCAAGAAAAGTGCTGCTTAAGAGTCAAGGCGAGGATTTTCCCCCTTCTTCTTCATCATCAAATCAAAATCATGGGCTGAGTTTTCAGACTATTTTAACATTACATTTTGACACACACTCAAGAAGACTCTAGTAAAGAAAAAACACCAAGGAGACAAGAAAGAAATGCAGTAACATGCCATGGATCTGCCTAATGCAGGCAACCTTCCTAACTTGGGGATTGCATGCAAGCGCTCCCTGCTCGGAGGACTGGCTTCCCTGTGACGGAAGGAAGGAAGGGAAGGAGGAAGGAAAGAGAGAAAGAAGGAAGGATGAAAGGGAGGAAAGGAAGGATGGAAGGAGAAAGGGAGAGAGAGAGAAGGAGGGAGGAAAGAGGGAAGGAGGGAAAGACAAAAGTGAAGGAAGGAAGGATGAAAGGGTGAAAGGGAATGGCAGAAGGGAAGAAAGAGAAGGAAGAAAAGACAAAAGGGAGGAAAGGAAGGAAGGAAGGACAAAAGGGTGGAAGGGAAGGAAGGAGGGAGGGAGAAAGAGGGAGGGAGGGAAGGAGAAAGGAAAGAGAGGAGGAAGGAAGTATAGGATGTTGAGAGAGAGGAGGGCCTGAGAAAAGAGCCCTAGGAGCCGCATCTGGCCCCCGGGCCTGGGTTTGCCCATACCTGGACTAATGCATGAAATATCTTCTCCTTGAGTTGCATTAGTTTTCCCTCTGCAAATAATTCAGAAAATTAGACTTTTTAAAGAAATATAATATGGGTAATTGTTTGAATTGTTTGAGTCTATTTTTGTATTATACAACATTGAATGTTTGCCTTTTATGTTGTGAACTGCCCTGAGTCCCCATAGGGAGACAGGCTGGGATAGAAATACTTACTATCAGTCCATCACAGCTGGGAACAAAGAGCATGGGAGCAACCGATAGCACTAGTTGATAATAAAGTAAAAACATAAATATTGTACCCAATGATAGTCCAAGAGGAACACTCAGAGGTGTCATAGCAGATAGTGAGCCCACGCCATACTTAGTTTGTTTGAAGGAAGGTGCTGCATTTCAAAACGTGTCAACGTGGCCTAGGCCACTGCGATGTCAAATCAGCAGAGATGTCGATTGCAGTTTTCCCTAGAAAGGCTCTGAACACATTAAAAAATGGATGAGTTCCATGCCTGCTAAATGATGCAAAGACTGAAAAGGTTGACTACCTATCTCTGATTCATGTACAAAGAAATCAGAACATGAGGAGATGCCTGCTGGGTCCAATTGAACGCACTCTCAATTGAAATCACAGCCTGACACAATGAACGCCAGGTGGAGAGTCCAGTCCCTCTGATTCCTGCTTCTTGAGCCTATTTGTAATTCTCACCTGAGAAGCACACCCTTAGACACATGTATCGAGAGCCAGATCGACTGTTACTAAATGATATGTGTTGTTGAAGGCTTTCATGGTTGGAATCACTGGTTGCTGTGAGTTTTCTGGGCTGTATGGCCATGTCCAGCAACAGTCTCTCCTGACGTTTTTCCTAGGCATCCTCATAGGTTGTGAGGTCTACTCTCGTACTGGAAACTAGACAAGTGAAGTTTATATATCTGTGGAATCATGTCCAAGGTGGGAGAAAGAACTCTTGTCTGCTTGAGGCAAGTGTGAATGTTGCAACTGGCCATCTTGATTAGCATTTAATGGCCTTGCAGCTTCAAAGCCTGGCTGGTTGCTGCCTGGGGGAATCCTTTATTGGGAGGTGTTCGCTGAATCTTGTCTGAAATTCCCGTTTTTTTTAGTATTGCTGTCCAACACTCACCTCCTCCAAGGTGAACTGAACCACCTAAACTGGGCACTGCAGGCCAATGGATACTTCACCAGAGACATCAGAAAAGCTGCAAGACCGAGAACAAGCCACGAGAGGAAAGACAAAGATCCACTCAGAGGAAAAGTTTTCTTACCATACATCAAGGAAGCCAATGACTGCATAGGGAAGCTGATGAATAAACACAACCTAAAAACTATCTCCAGTCCCAATAAGAAAATCCAACAAATGCCACGTTCAGCAAAGGACACAAGGGGGATCCTCTCACCTCTGCAGGAGTCTACCATATATCATGCAGCTGTGGACAAGTCTACATAGGGACCACCAGACACTGTGATGAAACACCTATCAAGGAACATGAAAGGCACTGCAGACTAATTCAAGCAGAGAAGACAGCCATAGCAGAGCATTTGATGAACTAATCTGGATACCCCATATCATCTGAGAACACAGAAATGCTGGACCACTCAAACAACCAACATGTCAGACTACACAGAGAAGCCACTGAAATCCACAAGCATGTGGACAATTTCATCAGAAAGGAGGAAACCGGTATTAAAAACACCCTCTGAAATCAAGGCAGTAAATAAAGAGGAACACTCAAAAAACAGGGAAATTCCAGGCAGGAAGCAATCAGGGCCAGCTAACACATCCCAACAAAGGACTCCCCCAGGCAGCAACCAGCCAGGCTTTGAAGCTGCAAGGCTATTCTGAACCTGTCTTAGTATTAGTGATCTAATCAAGGTGGCCAATTGCAACATTCACACTTGCCTCAAACAGACAAGAGTTCTTTCTCCCACCCTGGACATTCTTCATATATATATATATATATATATATATATATATATATATATATATATATACACACCTCACTTGCCTAGTTTCCAACAGACCTTACAACCTTTGAGGATGCCTGCCATAGATGTGGGTGAAACGTCAGAAGAGAATGCCTCTGGAACATGGTCAAACAGCCCGGAAAACTCACAGCAACCCACTAAATGATATATTTGACTAAGATAAGAACTAGCGAGTGTGGCACCCTACAGGTGTTATTGTTGAGGTCCAAGCCCCATTTTTCTTATTGGTGGTGCTCCGGGCCTAGGATTATAGAGGAGTTGGAAGCCAACATCTGGAAAGTCACAGGCTTCCACTCCCTAGGCTAATGCATTAGTTTTCATGGTTCAGTAAATTTTGTTTTCTAAAATAAATATCGGAAGATTTAATAGCTCATATTTGGTTCATCAATTGATTCGCTTCTCCTCTTTGCTTTTCATTTTAAAAAGCCTTTGGAGTCAAGCCAAAAAGAAATGTATGAAGTTGTGCGAACCACGTTTCCTTTTTTACACCTTTTGTCGGGAAATTCTTTGGTTGGCTGGACATTTCTCGTTTTCCTCGACATCTTAGCGCCATCCAGAAATCCTGACAGCTTTGAGAGCCGTAGGAAGGCTGTGTGGGAGAGGAATCAGTCTAGTGGTTGTAATTGCAGGATATGAAAACGGTGTAGCTGGTGCGGAGAGAGATGATCTGACAAGCAACATTAATATTGTCTCAACCAGCTATACAGAACAATTTACTTACATGACAACCTTGGGGCCAAGAGACTAAGCTAGAGAGGGGATACCTTTACTGTACTGACTTCCTTTCCATAAATGCATCCTGCTACTTTTATTTGCTTGTATTCTCCTGGGTGGCTGTGCTTCAGTCTCTTGAAATTTTTTGTGACTATAGTAGTCAATTACAGCAAACAGAGGTTTCTTAAACCATCTTTTTAAAAGAGTTGACAGGTTTCTCATTTAAAACCAAATCCATGTGCAAAAGGGTAAGATAAATCTTACGGAAACTGTACAAAGCTTAGGACAGCAATTTGGGGGACATGATTTCAAGAAACAATATTGACCCACAGAACTGGGGTTCTATCCTCTGATGCAGCAGAGAATAGCCTACATCCTCTTCTTTGTAGCAGGCTTTGAAGAATTTTTAAAAGTGTATGTATTGAAGAGGTAGTTCCATTCAATGCTGTCAAAGGCTTTTAAGGCATCTAGAGCAGTGGTTCTCAACCTGTGGGTCTCCAGATGTTTTGGCCTTCAACTCCCAGAAATCCCAACAGCTGGTAAACTGGCTGGGATTTCTGGGAGATGTAGGCCAACCCATCTGGGGACCCACAGGTTAAAAACCACTGATCTAGAGGGATCCACGAAATATGGGATTTAGAAGTATTAGAGAAGTGGTTCCCAACCTTGTTTTGACCAGGGACCACTTGACCAGGGACCTCTTTGACCAGGGACCACTCTCTAACATTAAAACCAAAAGGGTTATGAATCGGTTTTTGGTCAACTTGAAATTCAGTTTGGTTATTTGGGGTGCCGATTCAGAAAATTGCATTGGATAGACCACATCAGCTCTAGTTTCTGATACTGAATATATGCCATCCAGTAGTTGCCATCTGCTTGCCCACAGAAAACCATCTTTAACAAGCGTTGGCACTATAAGAGGGTTTTGTGAGACCAGTCGCCCTCATTGCAATGGTGAGGCTGCAGACCATATTTTAGTTCTTGCAGACCATTGGTGGTCCACGGACCACAGATCGGGAACCACTGTATTAGACCAATGTATCACATTCAGGGCCCCCTGGTGGCATAGCGGGTTAAACTGCTGAGCTGCTGAACTTGCTGACCAAAAGGTTGGCAATTCGAATTCAGGGAGCATGGTGAACTCCTGCTGTTCGGCCCAGCTTCTGCCAACCTAGCAGTTTGAAAACATGCATATATGAGTAGATCAATAGGTACCGCTTCTGCAGGAAGGTAACAGAGCTCCGTGCAGTCATGCTGGCAACATGACCTAGGAAGTGTCTACGGACAACACTGGCTCTTCATCTTAGAAACGGAGATGAGCATCACTCCCCAGAGTCGGACATAACTAGACTTAATGTCAGATGAAACCTTTTCCTTTACCTTATCACATTCAAAGCTCTTGTAGCATCTGTGAGTTGGCATTGGGGCATGAAACCCATATGATCAACTTGGATGTATCTATTAGTGAGAATTTTGGCATCCTGGTTGATAAGTGCTACAGGCAAAGTGCTTTGACTTGGGTATTCCTCTGCTGTTTTTGACATTATTATTATCCTAGAAGGTGTGCAGCAATCAGGTGTAAGATCACCATCAAGCAGGGTCTTAAGTAAATTTATCATGCAGGGAGGTCGATCTTTTAGTAGAATTTTTATAAAAGTTAGTCACGAAACCTTCAGGGCCTGGGGATTTCCCAGGTTTTAAGTTTCTGATTACATTTTTAATTTTTTCATTGTTAATAGTCTGTTGAGGCTCGAAGAAGAGTTTTTCTGTTTTGTGCCAATACTAGGAGACAGCAGCCAGACAGCATTTGACTGAAGACAGTGCTAGCTCTCTGTTGGAAAGGAGTACTAGAAGTCCTAAAACATGAGGTGCTCTCGACCTTCTAGTTTTTTAGAGACATCAGTGCGGCCACAAAAACCAATTACTATCTCCCAAATAAATTCAAAACACATGCACAACCTAGCAGTTCAGAAATATGGAAATGTGAGTAGATTAACAGGTCTCGCTTAGGTGGGAAAAGGCAAAAAGATGCTACCAGCAGTTACGCCAGTTGCACGACCAGAAGGTGACAACACAGGCTCCTCAGCTTTGAAATGGAGAAAAGCACCTTCCCCAGAGGAAGAGATAAGCACTGCCTCCAAAGCCGGAAATGAAAGGAGAATCCTTTGCCTTTGTGTGTCTCATTGTACTGAAACAAGGTATTGAATGTTTGTCAGTATCTGTTTATACGGTAATCCGCTCTGAGTCCTCACAGGGAGAATGGCAGAATATAAATAAAGTTTATTATTAATAATAATAATTCAGAAATCAATGACTAATTACTCTTCCTTTAGTATAG